ACTTTAAAAATTTGGAAGAACTGTTGCTAATCCTGGCAGAGGTTATCTGGGGATGTTATACCGCCTAATGAAATCTTTAAGGAAGGAAAGATCATCATGTTAGTTTTAGCATTTATAAATGAAGGCACACTAAATTCTTAGGGTGTTAGGAAAAGAATCTATATCTGATGTGTTGGAGCCAACAGACTGGCTCATATAAGAACTGCTTGTTAAATTTTCAGGAATTTTGCAAGCAGGCTGACTTTGCATTAGTAGCTTGAAATTGGCTATGGTGGGAGTATTTATACCATGGAAATTGGCAAACACTGCAAACGAGGGCTTTTTTTTTTTTCCTGGAGAGTGCGTTTAACAGCACACTATTATATAAAGCCAATATTTCAGAGGCTGACAATTTGATGATGAGAAATCAATAGGGCCAGCCTGAAATAACCAAGTTACTTTTATGGTTGTTTGGATTGAAAAAGTCACAAATTTTGAGCATGGAAGAAAGAGCTTTTTTTTTTTTTTTTTTTTTTTTTTAAGAAATAGATTATTTGTACACAGAAGCAGACATGAAGGATAAAAAAAAAAATAAGATCTTTTGCTTTCAGGTCAGGTTGCTGGATTCTTGCAAAATGTTAAGATACATTCTCGGGGTTAGGGCAGATAGCCACCTTCTGGAACTTGTGATAGCTGCTTTCCTCAGCTCCCAGACTGATAACACAGCCCAGCTGATCCCGCATGCAGCATCACATGTTAGTTACAATGAGTGTGTTAGACTGCTTCTTCAGGGAAAGAAAAAGATTCCAAGAAGAGTTAGGTGGAAGCTCTGATTGATTATGGTTTATAATGTTGGAGCAAGTGGAGACTAATGAGAGTTGCCCTAAGGTTTCAGGCCTTCAGTGGGAAAGGATATAAAGGAAAAATTACTTGAAGAGGCAGGGCTTTGAGCATTGCTCACTGACAAGAACATCTTTGAGATACACCACTCTGTGAAGGCAGAGAGGGATTATGTGGGATATTTCAGAGGCAAATGTCATTGGGCAATACCTCCATGAAGAGATAAATGGATAAATGATAAGACATAGGTCCTATATTTCTGAGTTTATTTTAAAGTACTACAAAGGCAAATGCAAAAGCTTCTAGTTAGTTTCTTCAGGGACTTGAGATTGAATGTTCTCCATTTAAAATGAAGTTGCAGAAGCAGGCACATCCTGAAATTCCTTTCCTCTCCTCCAATTTGTGGTAAGCACTTGGAAAATTCGAATAATTCTAAGGGGTTGTGTAAGACTAAGTTGTGTCATCTTTTCTGATGTCTTTATGAAGCTGGTTAATTGTACTGTTTATGAGTAGAAAGAAAGTGGCTTTCTTCAGTCATCTTTGGATGTAGCTAATTATTTTCTTGGAAGAGGGCTTTATTTTTAATCTTGAAGCATTTCTAGGGCTTAGATTTTAATGGAGCACTATTATTATTTCCCAAAGGATTCGATACCAGCTGTAGTTAAACAAGTTGGGACTCTGGGATTGATAATATCTAGTCTTTAGTCTTTATTATATTAAAAAATATGAACCCATTGATGACCTTACACTCTGACTCAATGAAAATAAATGAATTTTTAATAAAGAGAATATTATGCAGTTTGATTAAAATTAATTTCTTAAAGATCAAATAAGCCCTGTCATTTGGAAAAGCAATCCTAGAACAGTAGATCTCAGGAGTCACTATGTAGTTGCTATGGGTTCTTGACCTTGAGGTCAGGAATGGTGAAGATAATTAAGAAGGGAAAGCTTATGAAAATCATAGATGGAGACACAGTTTTGCATCTTATGTTGAATATTCAATGAAAACAACTCTCTGCCTCGGGAGAAATAAGATTTTAGGAGACAGAATTAAAAAAAAAAACTTTGAAGGAAACATGCAGTTAAATAGTTCTGACAAACTAAAATTCTCACAAACAGGACTTTTAAATAGAGTCTATTCGGAAGCTCTATTCTGGCCATTCATCACCATCTGTTCATAAAGTGAAAATTCCTGCCATTAGTATTTAGACACAGGCCATGTGAAAGAGAATCTAATGTAAAGAGTAATATCAATTATACCAATAACAGTCAACCAGTATTAAGTATCTAAGTCATTATTGAAACGAGTAGTAGATTTTTATTTTTCCTCATAGCACAGTTGCTTTTCAGAAACTACCTTTGACATTAAAGAAATTTTCATATGAAAAGCATGCCCATTCTAGAAAATTACAGAGAAAAATAGAAAGAAAAAATATAATTCTGTCACCAAAGGCAACCAATGCCAACATTTAATTTATTTCCTTTTGATGCTGTTCTGAGTCATGACTGCACACTCTGTTACTACTTCCTGCAACTGCAGTTACTGCCACCACCTTTACACCCACCATTTACTGAAACTAACTTTATCTTTTTACCAACCTTCACATATCTTTTCAGTTTTATTGAGAAATAATTGACATACATCAGTATATATATTTAAAGTGTACAGCATGATGGTTTCATTTACATATGTTGGGGAGTGATTATCACAGTGTTTAGTTAACATTCATCATTTCATCTAGATAAAAAAAATATTTCCTTGTGGTGAGAGCTCTTAGAATCTACTCTATTAATTTTCCTATGTACCATAGAGTAATGTTAACTATAGTCATTATTTTGTACTTTACATCATTGGTTAGTATTTATCTTATGGCTGGAAGTGTGTGCCTTTTGATCACCTTTCTCAAATTCTTCCTCCCCCTGTCCCCGACATCACCTCTGGTAACCACAAATCTGATCCCTTTTTTTCTATGAGGTTTATTTTTTTTTTAAATTAGGCTCCACATAAAGGGAGGTCATATAGTGTTTGTCTTTCTTTGATATATTTCACTTAGAATAATGCCTTCAAGATTCATCTGTGTTTTTAAAAATGTTTGGATTGTCTCATTTTTATGGCTGAATAATATACCATTGTGTATCTATATATCTACATCTAGATCCAGATACAGACATACATCCCAACTTTATCCATTCATCTATTGGGGATGCTTAGGTTGTTTTCATGTCTTCGCTATTGTGAATAATTTTACTATGAGCATGGTAATTCAGATTTTTTTTCGTTATTGTTTTCACTTTGGATATATTCTCAGAAGTAGAATAACTAGATCATATGGTAGTTCTAGTTTTTAAATTTTTGAGGAGTCACCACACTGTTTTTCATGGTGGCAGTAACAATTTACATTTCCACCAACATTGTAAGGGTTCCCTTTTCTCTGCATCCAAACCACCATTTATTATCTCTCTTTTTCCTGTGTGTGATGGCAATTCTAATGGGCGTGGAGTGATGTCTGTTGTGGTTTTAATTTGCATTTCCCTAATGACTAGAAATGTTGAGCGTCTTTTCATGCCTCTGTTGGTGGCTGGTAATTTTTAAAATACCATTTTCCATTTTATAAAATGGAAATTCAGAAATGTAAGGCAACCTGCTAACTTTTAATACATGACAGGACTAGGATTGGGACCCAAATATATATAATTTGAAAGCCAATTTTTTTTTTCATTTCACACACACACACACACACACACACACATGCTTTCATATTCTAAAGACTATTCTGTATCTTCCTTTTTCACTTAAAAATAGTATAATAATGAATTCCCTGCCATTAACTCTTCATGAAGAGTTTAATTGCCTCAAAGCAGCCCATTCTAAGTATATTTTTCATGTTGATAGTTTTCATTGTTTTCATTTTGATGTGCACCTTTTTATTAACTCAGAACCAAATCATTGCAAAAGATAATGTGTGAAGGCTGGATCAGTTAGACTGAGGTCTAGAGTGGAAGTCAGGCAGAACAGGGGAGTGCAGATGCTGTAGTCAGCGTTCACTACTGCGGGTCGCTTCCCTGAAAACCACTCGTTAAGCAAATGAAGACAAAGACAGATGCTTTTCAGATTAAGATGTTTGATATAAAATTCCAGATGTGTTTTTTACCCTCCATGTTGCTAAGGTCTCTGTGTTTGTCTTAACCAGCTTCTGACTTCTCTGACAGTTCTATGCAGCTCCTGACACAGTATTTCTCCATTTCCCTTTACTTTGATTTTTATATCCCAGGAAGTTTTTTGGTATTTCTTTTCCCAGAAAACGAAATGATCACCCTCTTTCAAGTTCTGGAAAACTTCCCTGTTAACCACTGAATCCTAATTAGAGAAATTTGTAAACATGGTTCCTAGTGACTACCTGTTTAATCCCGCGTTTAAGCTATGTTGTGTAAAGCAACTTGTTCAGTAGACTTTTATCTGCCTGGTTACCTCCATGTAAGCTGCTTGAAGAGATAAATACTCTCTAAAGAAGCGTGGTATGGATAAAGAACTCTCACATTTATATCAGTTGTTCTGAACACCTAATTCAGTATCAATTCTTTATCATTTTTTTAATCCAATACATTTCTTGAGCACTTGTACTATATATAACTGGTATTGTAGTAGACTCTGGACATAGAGTGGAGAAAAGAACTACAAAGTGTCCCTGGCCTCAAAAGCATAATATCTAGTGGAAGAGGCACCTAAATATAAGTAAACATATTGTGTTTTACTGTAATTGTGTGCAGCACAGTACATCCTGATATTCTTTTATAATTTATAAACATAGTAATAATAGTGTTTCTTCTATAAAATTTTGTTGTATTCTGTTCCCATTCATTCTTTAGCTGAGTTTCAAGCTTCAATTTAAGATGTTTGTCCATTGGTTTGCCAACAGTCTTTGGGTTTAAAAAGAATCCTAAAACAAAATGGAGCTCTGTGATTTTGCTTATTTACTGATCCCATATTCATTTAATGATACTTTACTTAAGGGGAAACTTCTCAGTGTCTTTCCTACTTCCATGGAATTACTCTTGGGCTGGTCAGGAAATTCTTGGATTCCTAACAAGGAAATGTATGCCAGACACTGGCTCTGCTCAACCTCACAGATTGTGAAAGCGCTTGTCAGTTGCGCCAGTAAATCTTCCCTCTCTTACCGCAGGTCCAAGGATCTCATAAAGGAGGCCATCCTTGACAATGACTTTATGAAGAACTTGGAGCTGTCGCAGATCCAAGAGATTGTGGATTGTATGTACCCAGTGGAGTACGGCAAAGACAGCTGCATCATCAAAGAAGGAGATGTGGGGTCACTGGTGTATGTCATGGAAGGTATGCTTTTTAACCACATTCCCCTGACATTCAAATATTCTCTTTCATCTTATCAGCCTGCACACAGATGGCAGTGTATTACATGAAACAATTCCATTTTTCTTTTTTGTTGTTTTTGAGAAACAGTTTGGAAAGAGGGTGAACACTGCTTAGACACAGAGGTTGATTAATCATTTGAAGTGTTTGTGTTTAGACTTATTAAAATGAAAGTCTAGTATTTTTTCAGACATGGGGAAAGGATAATAACATGAAAGAAAGCATTGCTATTTATTGCACTGCATAAGACCACACACTGTCAGATCATTGAGCAAACTCAAAGCTTCAATGGACGCTCAAGTCTATTGGAAGTATTTTTGGTCAGATAATCAAAGTATCTTCAACTCTGCTTTTACCTCCCAGTGTATGACTGGCTTTCTGCTATGTTGCTTCTATAAAAAGAGGATGTTTTCAGTGTTTCCTGTGTGTCTGATAGAGGTGGATCATAAAGGTTGGATAGTGTATTAGCTTCCTGATTATTAAGAGTGGTAGCTTGTTTTATAAATCTTGCACAAACTAAGATAGAAACTGCTTTAAAAAACTGAGGCATGCACTGTATAAACATGTTTTATGTTTCCGTATATTTTCACATTATAAATTTTTAACTTGAAATTTATAATGGCATGTTTTCCTTTTGGGGGACGAAAAAGCCTGAAATCATGAATGAATCAACCGAGAAGAAAGTGAGGTCAAAGATGTCTATAGTAGAAGACAGTTGGCTTAGAAAAATCACAATTGATTTATTTGGTGGCAGTTAGTGTTTTACCCAAAGTATTCATGCTGATGTCCTATAACTGTCAGTTTTCCAAGTCATTCAGAAGAGAGGTGTATTTCGGCAAGTCGATTAACTTCTCTGTTTCACCCAGCTTATGAAAAAAGGAGACACTCTTTCTTTCTAGCAGTAGTTCTCCACTGGTGATGATTCTGACCCCAGGAACATTTGGTGATGGTCAGAGACATGTGGTTGTCACAGCCTGGGTAAGGGTGGGCATGAAGGAGGCTCCTGGTGTCTAGTAGGTAAAGACAGGGGTGCTAATCAACAGGGCAGTGAGTGGCCCACAGCCAAGCCTGCCCTGTCCTTAGTGCCTGTGCTGAGAAATCTTGCTTTCTACCTTCTTTGCAGGACGGTTATGAAGTTAATATGAGTAAGTTGTGTGAATGTATAATGTAAAGTGTAAAATATTGTAGAATAATGATCAATATTGTTTCTTTTAAATACTTGAGAGTATGTAAAAAATGTTCTTTCTACATTCGTCATTCACCTTTTAAGTTTTTCTTTGTGATTCTTTCTTGACATGCTGAAATCAGGCCTTTGATATTTATTAATTTCTATCACTATTTTCTTTATAATTTTCAGCTTGTGTCAGTGTTACAAAGTTTCTCCCCACACCAAAAGGATGTAAATGTTCGGTTAGGCTTTCCTCTGACAAAAACAAACTACGGTAAACAAAAACACAAACAATATGTACTTGGCAGAGAATTGCAGGGAAAGGAGGTGAAATTATAGGGAAAGGGTGCATGTGGGTAGTGAGCAGGAGCAACTAGAAAAGTGGAAGAAATATATAGAGGCCAAGTGGAGACTATAAATATAGAGGCAAATGTTAAGGACTATTAACCTTTAGAAACCAAGTTTAAAGCTTTTCTGAGATGATATTATATCAACAGTTTCATATTATTTGATTATTTATGTTTTTTATTGGCCAGGCACATTTTAAAGAACACAGATAGTGTATAAAGCAGAATGTACTTTACTTCAGTCATTTTAAATGCTCATTATTGGTATTCCAACAAAGGTCCACCTAGTCAAAGCTATGGTTTTTCCAGTAGTCATATATGGATGTGAGAGTTGGACTATACAGAAAGCTGAGTGCTGAAGAATTGATGCTTTTGAACTGTGGTGTTGCAGAAGACTCTTGAGAGTCCCTTGGACTGCAAGGAGATCCACCTAGTAAATGCTAAAGGAAATCAGTCCTGAATATTCATTGGAAGGACTGGTAGTGAAGCTGAAACTCCAATACTTTGGCCAGCTGATGCAAAGAACTGACTCATTGAAAAAGACCCTGATGCTGGGGAAGATTGCAAGTGGGAGGAGAAGGGGATGACAGAGGATGAGGTGGTTGGATGGCATCAGTGATGTGATGGACATGAGTTTGAGTAGGATTAGGGAGTTGGTGATGGATAGGGAAGCCTGGCATGCTGCAGCCCATGGGGTCACAAAGAGTCGGACAACGACTGAGCGACTGAACGGAACTGATTGAATTCCGTTCAAGAAATGAGTAGTTTGAAAACCTATATGTTCATGTCAGTTTTCCTTACACATTTTTTCAAAAAATTTCTGTTTAATTCATGCCATTTCTGTTTTCTAAGACTAAATTCAACTTTACTAGCTATATTAGAAGGAGCTTGAAAATTGTACTTAATATTTGTTAGTTTTTAGAACTCATTGCCCAACATATAGAGCATGCTTTTTCTAAACACTTTCTGTGTATAAAATTTATTTAATTCTCAAAGTGATCCTGTGAGGTAAGGGCTAGTATTTATTATCCCCTTTTATAAATGTGAAGACTGAGGCCCACCTGGTTTATAGTATAGTTAGGAGTGAACTCAAGTAATCTGGATTCAGAGCTCAAGCTTTTAAATATGGGACTCTGTATTGGTGATGGTTCTCCAGAGAAAAAGAGCCAATGGGGGTATGAGTGTGTATATCTGGGTACTGAGAGAGAGGTTTATTTTAAGGAATTGACTTCCATGATTGTGGAGACTGGAAAGCCATCTGCTTGCTGGCAAAATTCACCCTTCCTCCAGGTAGATTAGTTTTTTTTCCTGATAAAACTCCAACTGATTGGATGAAGTCTTATCAACATTAAGAAGGTAGTCTGCTTTCACTCAAAGACTACTAATTTAAATGTTGATTCCAGCAAAGAAATACCTTCATAGAAATGTCTGGTGTAATATTTGACCAAATATATGGATATCATGGGCTTGCAAGTTGATCTATAAAATTAACCATCACAGGTCCATTTCTTGTCAACGTGGCACCCGTACATATCTCCTTAAACTATACCAAAATATCCAAGTAAAGACAATAATAAGGTCATACTTCTGCCTAACATGATAAAATAATCTTGTGTGTAAAGAAAACAAACAAGTCATTTTCCCAGAAAAGGATGCGAAGTTTTGGGTGGTGGTCATTTCTCCTCTCCTCAATATCCCATATCTCAAATATTTTGATGCAACATTCAGTTCAGTTGCTCAATCATGTCCAACTTTTTGCAACCCCATGGGCTGCAGCATGCCAGGCTTTCTTGTCTATCACCAGCTCCCGGAGCTTGCTCAAAGTCATGTCCATGTCAGTCAAAGTCACTAACGTCATCTAACCATCTTATCCTCTGTCGTCCCCTTCTCCTCCTGCCTTCAATCTTTCTCAGCATCAGGGTCTTTTCCAATGAGTCAGTTCTTCACATCAAGATACAACATTAAGAAAACTTAAATACTACAAAATAAAGTCAATACATCCTATGTTACATGATAATGGGATCTGTGAGGAAGGGGAACAAGAATTTTACGCACAAATGCACTACCTCAAACATACAAACGTAAATAAAAACATGTTTTTAACAAAGAAGAAATATCCATGGCAGACTTCCCTAGGTAAATGTAAATACACTAATTTTTCCACATTTCATCAAGCTAATTTTAATATATTTTGTTTATCTTCTTTTTGCTGCTAGACTGACTAAATAGCAAGTCATCTCAATTATGTTTTTAAAAACAGGGTTCTAAATAGTGTATCAGTAGTCAAAGTCACAGATTTTGCAATGATGGTGTTGGTTGCTTTCAGTTAAATTCACTGAATGACTGTGTTCTTATAACCTAATGTGAAATCTGTCCCCAGGTTGTAATTCTAATCAATTCCATGTAATTTTGGCTTGATTTTATGCCAATATTCTCATGTGAAAATAATTTAAAGTAAAAAAATCTTGTCATTTAAATTTTTATAAGTTTTAATTGAGGAAATGTTTCATTGCTTAATTAGTTTTTTATCAACACATTTAATCTTCTCAAAATTTAGATGGCACTGTTCTTGATATAGATGGATTCTTTTTCATTTGTGAACATTATTAATATTTATAAAGAGTATACCATAGCAACAATGGATGAAGAGAATAGAGGATCTTTCACAAACTTGCTTATTATCAAAACATTCAGAAAAACACCCAGGGAGTTTACATGGAAAACCATTCCAATTATTCCTGCCTTTCTTCAGTTAAATGAAGTTTTCTTCATAAAATGCTTGTTTAACATGTGGTTTCAGTGATTTTTGTTTTAGCCTGGGCAGTGTCCCAAATATTATTGCATACCTAAATGCCAAATTTTCTCATCATTTTAACAGAATAGTCATATGTTAAGACTTAACTAATTAGGATGACAGGGAAAAAATCATCTGGAAGTAGTGTAAATATATCATGTATTTTCAAACGAAATGAGTTGTATAACTTTCAGATATTTATAGTTACTGGCTAGTGGAAGTTTTAATTTCAAGTTTTGATTAGAATTATTTTAGTATGAGTTACTTAAGGTAGCAGTGGGTCAAATTGCTAAGGCTTGATTTATGTTTTAATCAAATTTCAAATATATAAATGACTTAGAAAATAATTGAGTACAGCTTATTTTCTTAAACCAATAGGTTTTGGTCTTAATTATGGCGTAATATTTGTTAATATCTTTATACTCTTGCCCTCTTTTTTTTCCATGAAGGTAAGCTTCATCTTTACTAAGTCACTTCAGTTGTCTGACTCTTTGCAACTCCAAGGACTGTAGCCCACCAGGCTCCTCTGTCCCTGGGATACTCCCAGGAAAGAATACTCGAGTGGGTTGCCATTTCCTTCTCCAGGGCTTGTTCCTGACCCAGGGACTGAGCCTTATGTCTTCTATAATGGCAGGTGGGTGCGCCACCCAGGAAA